TTCCTGCCTGAGCCTACACTAACACATATACACACAACACATACACAAAACATGACATTTCCTGCCTGAGCCTACACTAACACATATACACACAACACATACACAAAAACATGACATTTCCTGCCTGAGCCTACACTAACACATATACACACAACACATACACACAAACATGATATTTCCTGTCCGAGCCCATAAAAGCACACACACACATTCACACAAACATGATATTTCCGGCCTGAGCCCGCTCACACATACGTACAAACACAAAATTTCCTGTCTGAGCCCACAAAAACACAAACACATACACAAAAAACATGATATTTCCTGCCTAAGCCCACTCACACATACACAACATTTCCTGCCTGAGCCCATCACACATACACGACATTTCCTGCCTGAGCCCACTCACACATACACGACATTTTCTGTCTGAGCCCACAAAAAACACAAACACATACACAAAAAACATGATATTTCCTGCCTGAGCCCATTCACACAGACACGACATTTCCTGCAAGAGCCCACTCACACATATTCACAGACAGGACATTTCCTGCCAGAGCCCACTCACACATATACACAAGCACAACACACACAAACACAAAATTTCCTGTCTGAGCCCACAAAAACACAAACACATACACAAAAAACATTTCCTGCCTGAGCCGAAATGAGCACCGGAGAATTCCAAGCGAGAGGGGAATGTGAGAGTGTGAGACTGAACGTATATGAAGACGACGGCTTACTATCGTATGTACCCGAGTATGGCGCATTGTAGGAGTAGGGGGTGTTTGCTCGGTCATTGAAGCGGAACCCTTGGCGATAACAGATGAAGAAGAGGACCAACAGAGCGATGATGAGGACGATCGACAGGAGCATCATGGCGAACCAGAGCGGGTTACCCACCAGTGCATATGCCTCAGCTGAAAGAGAAAGAAGCAAAACATAAAATAATAAAAATTACTGGGCTGTGTAAGATTGTTTTAGTAAGAGATTTACAGCACTTGCAACACAATTAAATCATATAAGTGCCGAAGACTCGAGGTGTTACTAGGGGGTAACAAACACATAACAGGAGGGGAGATAAAGACGATGGACGTTTGATAGGAAAGAAGGAGCAAACCACATCAGAGCATCTGCTAGCCACCTATGCTATGTAAGCGACTTCCACACTCAAACCCTCGAAAATAATATATCAAACATGTGAGGCATTGAGATGAAATCAGGAGCTCCTCAAAATAAGGAAATTGA